CACACACACACACACACACACTCTCTCTCTCTCTCACACTCTCTCTCTCTCACACACACACACACACACATGTGACCTTGGAGCACAAAACCAGTCATAAGGGTACATTTTTTGATATTGAGACAATGTATTGTTGGCTATTGCTACAAATATACCCCAGCGACTTAACACTGCTTTTGTGCTGCAGGGACACATATATACCGGTATATAATAAAAAGGAACAGTTATGTAATAAATATTTGAATCATTTAAAAAGCCCAAAACAAACGTCTGTTAGTTAAAGGGAAACACACTAATATTGTACACAGTCACATTTATTCACAAAGTGCTTTTTGCAGTACAGATGGTTTCAAAGCAGCTTCACAGAGATAAGCAAGAAAATAACAATTCTAATGTTGCAAAATTCATGTGAACCAAAGTCGATTCTGTCTGTGAAATGAGCTCCAGTGTAAAGAGACTCAGTGCAGCTGTGCTGTGGATGTAGAGAGCAGCTTCGTGTCGTAGCTCTAGACTGAGTTTGTGGAGTGTGTTGTGTTTGCAGGCATTACAGGAAGCGCTCCGGCTCCAGATCTAAGAGCCGCTCGCCGGACTCCAAGCGCTCGAAGAAGGAGGAGCAGACGGGATCCCGCGCCCGCGAGCGCAGCCGGAGAGAGAGGTCACGCAGCCGAGAGCGCCGCAGGTCACGCTCCAGAGACCGCAAGAGGCCGAGGTCAGAGGTCACGCACACCACACGCGTCTGCCCCGCTGCGCTGCTGAGTCTTAACCTCTCTCGTCTCTTCACAGGCGCTCCAGGAGCCGCGAGCGGAGGCGCAGGAGCCGAGGGAGGAGGTCAGCATCCACACACACGCTCCAACACTGCTGCTGTCGCACTGATCATTACTGACAAACACTACCATCAGTTATTATAGTTTAGGAGGCCTCAGCTAGCTGCCAAGTAATTTCACAATATTACTGCTTTTGCTGTATTTTGGATCAAATAAATGCAGGCTTGGTGAGCAGAACAGAATTTAAAAAACACAAAAAATCTTACTGTTCAAAAACTTTTGTGTACATCAAAAACTGATAGTGTACATGTCTTGTCTCGCTTTATAATATTTTATCAGATAGAAATTGCTACTTGTGAGAAAAAAAAAATTTGCAACCTAGAGAATCATTAATTCATTGGTAATAAAAAGTCTGCATTATAGAGAACATTCAATTTTCGGGACTGTGGTATTTAATTATTTGAATTATCATTATTGAATTATTTTAATATTTTGCCACTCCTAGTTTCTGTAAATAGTCAAGTCTGCTTTATTGTCAATTCTTCCACATGTACAGCACATACATACAGAGAATTGAAATTGCGTTACTAAGACATTATGTCAGAAGTATTATAAATACTGTGTTTGGCAATGACGGGCTTGGAGTGAGAAGCGTGTGATCTGCTGCTGAACGTGATGCTGATCTTACAGCAAGGAGAAGTCTGAGAACACAGAGCCCTGCGCTGACAAGAAGAAGATGAAGGAGGAGAAGGAGAAGGAGGAGGAGAAGCCTGAAGATGTGAGTGTTTTCAGACATCATCTTTCTTTAGATGTCGTCTTCTGAAGCGCACTGCATATTAACCCGATTCATGTTGATTAAGTGGATAACCGCGTGCAACGGTTGGTTCTGCAGCAGGACTTTGACCAGAACACTCTGGAGGAGGAGATGAGGAAGAGGAAGGAGCGAGTGGAGAAGTGGAGGGAGGAGCAGAGGAAGAAAGCCATGGAGAACATCGGAGAACTCAAGAAGGAGCTGGAGGAGATGAAGCAGGGGAAGAAGTGGAGTCTGGAGGACGACGACGGTCAGAGCACACCACTCATGTAGAAAAAATAACCCATGTGACATCTTCAGACAAAAATGACTCATTTCGCATTTTTCCGTTTAGTTTTCTCATAGGGATTTTTAAAAAGTCGACATTAAAGAGCTATAAGCCATGAACCGAACCAAACATCTACAAGCAGAATCACAAAACAAACAATCAGACAAAAAAAAAAAATCTAGGGTAGAAGACTTGAGTATGCCAGCTCACATTAAACACATTGTCGTGTGGATGCACATATTTGATTGGCCATCCCAAAAACTCTGAACTGTGATTGGCTGCCTCCCACACCAGGGGCGGGGCCTTCAATGAACCACAATAAACTCGTCAGGGAGCATTCAGAGCGATGTTTATATTTAATGCAAGGGAAGAGAGTTTGCATTATGCATTCGTTTTTACAAATGTAAAGAGTTGAATTGAATTTGTGTGTGTGTCTGTCTGTCTGTCTGTCTGTGTGTGTGTGTGTGTGTGTGTTCAGATGACGATGAGGAGACTCAAGCGCTCGTGGAGCCGGACGAAGAGGAAGAGGAGGGAGAGAAAGACGGATCGGCTGAGACAGAGGAGGAGGCACAGATGGAGCAGGAGACCGGAGAGGAGCTGGACCCGCTGGACGCTTACATGGAGGAGGTCAAAGAGGAGGTCAAGAAGTTCAACATGGGCACCATGAAAGGAGGCAACGACAAGGTGCTTTTAGTGCTTTTACACCAATACCTCCCTCAAACTGTATGAACATGCTTCTCTCTTCTGGAGCGGCTCTGTCCTGTTCTGTCATCAGTGATCAGCAGTGTTGGGAAGGTTACTTTAATTACAAGTTACACTAGTTCATGTAATAAGTAGTGTAACTATTTCAGTTACTTTATTAAAGTAATTTTAACTGATTGCATTTGATTTCTTTTCTAAATTTCTAACGAATGCTTTCAAACATGTAAAGCAGGCAGGTTAATCTTACAGTAGAACTCAACTCTGATTACTGCCAGACTTTCACAAGCCTTCATCTCTTGAATTAAGATTATAATACTTGAATTTTAAAGCACAGCCAGCACAAAATCAGACTTTAGCACCTCTTTTTACTTTGAGACCGTTCTGAGCTTAAAAACAGATTTAAAATCATAAGATATAATTTCATAGCTATGATACTGTTTTTGAAATAAAATCGTTGCATAGTAACACTGGCATCTGACAATGTTTGGAAAAACATTTAATCTTAAAAAATAAAGCATGCACATAAAACAGTTATCAAATAAGCAACTCCTGAAACATTGGTCTCTCGTATTTTAAAGCAGTCAATACAATTTGGTAAAGAAATCAATCACATCTATGTATGTGAGAATATTCAGATATACCCCCTTTGTAATCTTTAACATTTTCATAAGTAACTAATTTAACTACACATTGTTTCTCAGTAACTGTAACCGATTACAGTACTGTATGCAGACGAGTGCTGTGGATTTCTCTTTTTGTGTTCCACTTGAGGCTAAATAAATGATTATTCAAATATAGCTGAAAATATGAATCATGTGTCAGCAGAAAGGCAGTGTGTCTGTGACCAAAGTGGTGACCGTTGTGAAGACGAAGAAGATGGTGCACACCACCAAGAAGAAAGGAGAGCTGATGGAGAACGACCAGGACGCCATGGAGGTACAGCTTGATCAGCACATGCGTGTTTCTGTCATTTAGAGTAGATTAATCTCATCCAAACACGCACATGTCATGTTTATATGTGAATATCAGTGATGGTTTAGTCATCTGTGGGTTAAACTGCGCTTAAATCCACAGTAAGCTGTGTAGTATTCATCAGAGGAAGAGGAAGTGGACTTGCAGACGGCCCTCACAGGCTTTCAGACCAAACAGAGGAAAGTTCTGGAGCCGGTTGATCATCAGAAGATCGAGTACGAATCCTTCCGCAAGAACTTCTATGTGGAGGTGCCAGAGCTGTTCAGGATGAGCCCTGAAGGTACGGCACACACCTCAGCCCTTATTCAGGAGATCCTCTCATCAGCTCAGGATAACAGCTCTGTCTGATCATGGATGTTTGCTCAGAGGTGAACGAGTACCGTCTGGAGCTGGAGGGAATCGCTGTCAAAGGCAAAGGCTGTCCGAAGCCCATCAAGACGTGGGTGCAGTGTGGGATATCCATGAAAGTGCTGAACGCGATGAAGAAGTGAGTAGAGCGTGTTCAAGACGTTCACCAGACAGAACGAATGTTTCTGTTATTGCTCTCTGTCTCTTTTCAAGACACAACTATGAGAAGCCGACGCCGATCCAGGCCCAGGCCATCCCAGCCATCATGTCGGGACGAGACCTCATCGGCATCGCTAAAACAGGAAGCGGGAAGACCATCGCCTTCCTGCTGCCCATGTTTCGCCACATCTTAGACCAGCGGCCGGTGGGAGAGGCAGAAGGACCCATCGGTGAGTCTCATCCTGATCGTCTTTATTGCTCTGCTTCATATCTGCGGAATAAAACCTAACACCTGTTTCTTACTAAGGTCAGAAATAAGGTCAGTGACGGAAGAAAATGCAAACATGAGCCTGATGATTTCTACATCTGTGGGTGTTTTGCTGCATCCAAACAGCGGCAGAAAATGACAGATTTTGTGAAAAAAGATAATTTAATTATTTCTTTGACTAAGTTTTTAAACACATTTTCCACTCATTTGCAGATCAGAAGTTAAACTTATTTATCTATTGAAGCCCACAATAATATTTAAAATATCAGTACGTTTAATATAAAAAAATCATCATTTATTGGGTACTTTCAATTGGAAGGTAGCTGTCCTGAATTCAAAACCCTAAAACTTTTAGTAAAATAGCAAAAAAAAATATTTACAAGGTAGATGTAAACAAAATTTTAATAGGCTAGTATAACCCGTCTTATTAAATTATATATTTCTGTGTTTCGGTAGTGACAAATTTGAGGAGAGGAAAAATATTCAAAATCTTTCTGAAAATAGAACATGAGATTTAACTGCACAATTAATAGAAATGTGTACCTTCGATATTATACAGTTTGCATGCATACAAAATTTGTAGAAAAAGACACTTTTTTTTTTTTCAAGATGTTTCCATTTGCTTTGAACCAATTCTGTATAAAGTTCTATGCATGATTTGAAAAATTCTGGAAAGTTTCTAAAACTGATTTTATAAAGCGGAGAGTTCCGGTGCTTGGCTCTGATTGGCTGAGCCGCGTTCGAAGCTGTTGTAAATGACGCTACAAAGTAACATACACCTTTGTTTACGTTTGTGTGTTGCTCGGCAACCACTTTGTAGCAACCACAACTGTTTCTGAGGAGCTACATTGTTTGGTGGAAGAATACTGTTTTTATTAATATCATTACACTTTATTTGCTCTGTTTTATTTTGTGAAACCTTGCTACGTATATGGAATAACCGTTTTATAAACGCAATAACCCCCGTGAAGCCGTGGTTTACAGTGAATTTATTAGGGATGCACGATATATCGGCCACCATATCGGTATCGGCCCATATCGGCTCATTTTTTCTGTTATAGTATCGGCCTTGTGTTTATTTGATGTATATCTGATTTATCTCATATAGAATGCGTTTGGTTAAGTTAAAAGAGCTCTTCAGTTTACCGGTGATCGTCTTTAGCTCAGCACACGCAGTTCAAACAGCAGTGCACAACATTAATAACTATGATTGGGAATGTTGTGTATATAACATTCTAATGAGAACATTATTATAATAAAACGTTGTGCATTCTTTGGGTTTAGTTGCTGTGTTTCAGCGCGTTGTTATGGGAAGAGCGCATCCACAACAGGATCACACATTCTGACTATAGCATGCAATAACTGCGTCATTTGTCATTTCATATATAAGTTGTAATATTATGTTTATGTTGTATTAATATTAATCTCAGGATGCATTTCCTTGAGTTAAATAAGCTGCCAGCAAAACGCTTCAGTTTACCGTGTTCATTCAGCTCTTCAGCTTCAGCTTGAGCTGCAGCTCAATGGCTGCTATTTAAAACAGTGGTATTAATTTGTTACTTTTTCAAAATCATTGATATATTATTAATAACAACAACTACTTGTATTTTTCTCTTATTATTTTCATCAACAATATGGTTTAGTAATTAAAATCATTTAATTATTGTCCGTGCAGAGGCTATTCCGTTTTATTGATCTATGGCGCATTCATTTTGATTCTTTACACGTGTAATGATGTCCAGTGACTTGTTTGCATTATTTATGCATCATTTTATTTATTTGTAAGACTTTTTTATGACTAAATTTGGTAATGGGAGAGTAAAAATATTTTTAAAACGTACACCGTTCAAACTAGGCTGCTTATGTTGAAGTGTTTGGGATGTGGCTTTTAATGATGAGACCTTTTTTGTAATCAGGCTCTCAAAAAGTATATAACAATTTGGATATAGATTTATCGGCCAACATATCGGTTATCGGCTTTCAAAAATAAAGAATAATCGGTTATCGGTATCGGCCAAAATTTTCATATCGGTGCATCCCTAGAATTTATAACAGCTAAGAGTAAGTATCAGAGTAACGTCTGTGTTTCTCTCCGTCAGCCATGATCATGACGCCGACGCGAGAGCTGGCGCTGCAGATCACCAAAGAGTGCAAGAAGTTCTCCAAGTCTCTGGGTCTGCGTGTGGTGTGTGTGTACGGCGGCACCGGCATCAGCGAGCAGGTGCGTGTGATCCGCTTCGTCACGCTTCATGACCTCTCACAGAACCTGCTCTAACCCAGCGTGTGTCTGCAGATCGCAGAGCTGAAGCGCGGCGCAGAGATCATCGTGTGCACTCCGGGACGCATGATCGACATGCTCGGTGCTAACAACGGTACGTGCCAGTGGTCCGGCTTCAGTTAACAGCGTTATTAGAGCTCACTGAAACCATACAAAACATTTTCATTCGTTGAATGTTAACAGAAATAAAATAACATGTAGAAAAGTAAAATGTTTTATTTACAACAGTTAACATGCTCATTTAGTTTATCCTAATGTACTAAAATAACTCAAATTAATTCAAAGAAAACTATATAGACAAAAGCACACAACAAAATGATTAAAACTGTAACTAAAATCAACATGAAAGGAAAAAATATAAATAAAATCTATTTCAAAATATTAACAAAAACTATAATATCAAGGCATAATGTCACAATTTACACAATCACGCTTACACTAGAATGGGTATGGGTCACAATTATATACATTTCTCTTTTATGCCAAAAATCATTAGGATATTAAGTAAAGATCATGTTCCTTGAAGATATTTTGTAAATGTCCTACCGTAAATATATCAAAACTTAATGTTTGATTAGTAATATGCATTGCTAAGAACTTCATTTGAACAACTTTAAAGATGATTTTCTCAATATTTAGATTTTTTTGCACCCTCAGATTCCAGATTTACAAATATTGTCCGATCCTAACAAACCATACATCAATGGAAAGCTATTTATTCAAATTATGTATACACCTCAATTTAAAAAAATTGACCCTTATGACTGGTTTTGTGCTCCAGGGTCACATTTAATTAGTCTTTACTAAACACATAATATTGTTAGAAACCGCATCCCCTCTTTCAGAATCTGTGCATTTTTGCAGTATAACTTTTTTTAATGCTACCTTCCCTATGCCATGCATGTGTTGGTTAATGCAAATGTCTTCAAGCATCTTTCTAAAACAACAATATAAATATAATTCGGCACACAATTGCGTCAGTTTCAAAACTAATAAGGAGCGTAACGTATAGTCACCTTTATTTCTCGTCTCTGTGAAACTGCTTAAAATGTGTTCAAATACAAATGCATTGAATTTAATGTGCAAACACTGAAATTTAGTTGAGATTAAGGCTGCCTTTTTTGTTTATGTATATAAAAATGCGCTCAGAATGCCTATTTTTTCGTGTTACGTGTGTCATGCAATAGTTGCCAGGTTTATCAGCTGTTTATGCTCCTAACACAAGCTACTCGTACAAGATTCACGCTAGTCTGATGTTTTCAGGTGTATGGTTCATCAGTTGTGAATGTAAGATTTAGAGACTGGATTTCTCAGTGTTTCAGGAAAACTAAGCGCACTAACTAGAGCAGGAGCGGATGTGCCGTGTGTTTCCACACATGCGAGGTAATCTCTAATATGTTTCCTTCGTAGGTCACTCTTCAGGCGGCTTCAGCTCAGTTAATGTTTGATGTGGCTCTTGTGAGTTTTACTCTGATGGTACGCACGTTAAGCAGTTCTGCGTGAAGGACTCCGGCTGTAGTTTGCTTTGAGCTGCTAGTAAACGTTGCTGTCTGCCTGCAGCATTCACTCTGCTAAGCACGCTGCTGTTGTGTTGCGCAGGTCGCGTGACCAATCTGCGCAGAGCCACGTATGTGGTGATGGACGAGGCCGACCGGATGTTCGACATGGGCTTTGAGCCGCAGGTCAGTCTCTCTGCTGTCACACGACGCACTATTATAAAACCGTTCTGGTGCTTGACTCTGATTGGCTGAGCCGTGTTCGAAGCTGTTGTAAATGACGCTACAAAGTAACACACCTTTGTTTACGTTTGTGTGTTGCTCGGCAACCACTTTGTAGCAACCACAACTGTTTCTGAGGAGCTACATTGTTTGGTGGAAGAATACTGTGTTTATTAATATCATTACACTTTATTTGCTCCGTTTTATTTTGTGAAACCTTGCTACGTATATGGAATAACCGTTTTATAAAAGCAGTAAGCCCCGTGAAGCCGTGGTTTACAGTGAATTTATAACAGCTAAGAGGGTTTAGGCACTCCGCGGGGCACTTCACAGGGCTTATTGAATACGGCTGAGACAGTTCGTTGCCCATTTAATGCTGATTTGAAATCTGTTATCAAGCAGTTTTTCACGCAGAGCGGCGTTGGTCTTGACTGACTGAAGCAGCTTTGACAATAGAGAATGGGCAACTGTCGCATTGCATTCTGGGTAGCCATATTTTAGGATCCACTCAGAAACATACGGCGACAATAGTTCACTTAGGACAACACTGATCGCATTTTCATTCATACTTTTTGAGAACTACTTGCACTCGTTTAGAATAAAACGAATAATATTTATCTGTATATATATATATAGGGTAGCGCGGGGTTAGTCGTAACACACGTGGTTTGAATGTTTCCACACATGCTAGCATAACAAAATATGCAGTATTTATTAGTTACCATATCAACATTATATAGAAAAAATGTGCGCCAAAATTCAAAAATCTTTTGACGATATCGCTGAACATTCTGGCTTAAGTACATTTTTCATCTTAGTTTTTATTCATTTAAAATGAGACTAATCTGCTATTATTTTAATATACAATCCGTTTCGATCGTTTTTAATGCTTTGATAACTAGCAGAAGACACTAACCAGTTTTTTTATGTAAAGCATTTTGGCTGGTTTCTGTGGGCCGTCCCAAGCACGGTTGCAATGTGTTCATTGTCAAACTCCAAAATCAGATTATTTTTAATTCTTAAAAAACGCCAATATTTTATTTGAAATATTAACAAAATGTTTTAGTTTGTCTTGTATATTTTCTTTCATTCCATCGGATAACATTTTAAGCTGTCACACAATCGTTACACCGTGCCCCTCAGATGTTACAATGTACCCACCTACGGGGCATGTTGTCACATTTCACTTCCATTTTTGAGGGAAAATAAATAAAAACGTATACACTGTAATTATGAAACAAAGCGACATATTTGTACTAGACGAGTGTAAAATTACTGTGGATAAAAAAAAAATTATATTCTGAACCCCATGTGGATTTACACAAACTGAGAAAGTCAAAAAGTGTTACTTTGTGTCCCGCTCTCCCCTATATATATTTAATATACTTTAATATTTATATATATTAACCCTTATAAGGTCCTCGTTTCCGGTTTACACTTAGGGTCTTTGGGGTCAATATGACCAATTATAAAAATATATATATACATTTTTAATCATACAAATAATATAGCTTTGTTTGTTTACTTCTCATCTTTACATTAATGCTGTGTTTTGGGAGATATGAAGTACTTTTGTACCCGTTTACCACAAAATTCCTCAACTACACCAGTATTGTATCACTTAAATGATGATCTAAATTAATTTAAGTTGTTTCTGGATATTGTGTTATGTGTATAATTCTGCCCTCTGCTGGTTAGAGAGAAACTTGTAGAAATCACAGAGTTTGAAAGAGTAGTGTAATGCCCATCTATATCCAGAGGCCCATAGAGAAGTGGCCAACTGCTCCTCTCACAACAGTTCTGTTATATATTTTGTAAATATATATTTGAAACATTATATAATACATTCAATTTTCGAAGGTATTTCAAAGTGCCTGCTTTTGCAATAATGCTACACAAATTTGCAGAAATGCCTCACTAAAACCTGATTGCAGGCACATTTATTTCAATCTAAATATAATTATTTAAATCTCTTAACTACATTTGAGTGCTTTGATAAATTCAAGTTAAAGTAATGAAGTCATTAAACATAAATATTTGTGTGGATCAAGTTTTAATGTTTGCGTTTTATCTGCCGCATTAATCTTGGACGTATATATAAAAATAAGATCTCTTCTCAATCAGAATCTGTTAGCGTTTTCTGTGCATTTAACCTCAGATTGCCAGTTATCTATGCTGTGATGGTGATCTCTGGCTTGTGCTTGTGTGTACTCATGAATGTAAACCGCAAGCATCTTCCTAAAGCCGCTCTATAATAATGAATATGTGTGAAAAGCACCGAGACACAGTTAGCAGCTGCTTCACTCGTGCAAGACCCGCTCTACTGGAATGAAGGAGCGCAGAAACCGCCTCCTGCTCTAGCATCGTGTCCTGCAGTCCCACAGTGCCTTGCGCTGACGTCACGATCACACGGCTTTATAGCAGTCTGGTGGAGGCTCTCTGATGAACTCCTCGCCGTGTGTTTGTTGCAGGTGATGCGTATCGTGGATAACGTGCGGCCCGACCGACAGACGGTGATGTTCTCGGCCACGTTCCCGCGCACGATGGAGGCTCTGGCGCGCAGGATCCTGTCCAAACCCATCGAGGTGCAGGTGGGAGGCAGGAGCGTGGTGTGCTCAGACGTGGAGCAGCACGTGGTGAGTGCAGACCTGTGCGATTATACCACCGCTGGAGCGCAAACTCTGCTTTGAGGACACACGGATGACTTATTGTTCTGTTGTGTGCTTCATTTCCGTGAGAGCAAAGTGATAGGAATGTTTTTGGAAAGCCGTGCTGTTAAAGCGGTGGTTGATTGTGGTTTCACTCTTTTAACGTTAGTTAGTGTGTAATGTTGCTGTTTGAGCATAAACAATATCTGCGAGGGTACGCCGCTGAAAGCTCAATGTAGGGATGCAACGATGCCATTTGTTCAGAACAGATGTAGATTTTCTATACTACTTTGTGTTGACCTGATCATCACTCTTGTGTGTTAAACACAGTCTGCTAAATATAGACATTTTAATAAAAAATAACATGAAAAAATATATATAGTCATAATCTATGACAAACAAATACTATTATAAGCTAGGTTAGTGGATAATACAGCAGCAAAAGTTATTCTAGAAAAATCATGGGTGCACAATTTGATTAAAACATTAAACTAAACATTTAGTGAAACAACAACATTATTTAGTGGGGAACACATAAAAGTTAATTAAGTGTAGGACTAAATCTGATAAAATGTTACACATTGCTCTTTGTATTGATGTAAAATACAGTCATGAAAAACAAGTAGCCTAAATATATTCTATAATATATATATATATATATACTATAAAATTAAGACATTTCTTTTAAATGCATAGCACAGTAATGAAGGCAGCAGCATATGATAGAACAGAACAAAAAAGACTATTAATAATCTTTCATTGCGCAAAAGTATAGTTTGTTTACAATACAACCGGAGCACATTCTGAGGTGAGGGGCGTGACCTTTCCTGGACTGCACTGGCGGTTTAGCCAATCACAGCACACTGGGCCAGCTGACCAATCAGAGCTCATCGTGTATTTCTGAGGGAGGGGCTTCATAAAGCCAGGAAATCATCAGAGTGTTTACAGGACACGGGACAGAGCGGTGTAGAATAAAGGTAAAATATGGTCAAATAATATACCCCATAAACACAATCAAGCCTAGAAAAAAAAAGTCAACTATCCCTTTAATGATGACAAAATAAAAAAAATTTTAATATATATATATATAAAATAATCTAATTTCACTTTTTTTTTTTTATCATCAAAAAGTTATTTTTAAAAACAACAATGGAATAAAATACCAGCAAGCCAGCTCACAATTGAAAATACCCAATAAATTATGATTTGAAATTTTAAATATTATTGTGGGTTTCAATAGATAATAGAAGGATCTTAGCAAACATCTAAGATTTTAATTCTGAAATGCTTTTTAAATGTGTTTTCGGTCGTGGGTCAGCACCAGGTCTGTAGAATAGCCCACACGCACTGCTGGACAGGAGTTTGGAGTCATTAAGATTTGCTCATGTTTCTGAAAGAGTCTCTTCTGCTCACCGAGGCTGCATTTATTTGATCAAAAATACAGTAAAATAGTGAAATATTATTAGAATGTAAAACAGCTGTGTTCTGTGTGAATCTCTGTTAAACTGTAATGTATTTCTGTGATGTGCAGCTGAATCATTCCTGCAGTCTTCAGTGTCACATGATCTTCAGAAATCAGTATAATATGCTGTAAAATATCTCCCTTCTTCCAGACTTATGAGCGGTAGTGTATCTTACATTTAAACGCGTGCTCGTGCGAATCCTCTCGATATGAAGTGGCCTGCAGCTCAGGCTGTGTTTTCCGCTGCTTGCACAGATTGTGATCGCGGAGGAGAAGAAGTTCCTGAAGCTGCTGGAGATTCTGGGTCACTATCAGGAGAAGGGCTCCGTCATCATCTTCGTGGACAAGCAGGAGCACGCCGACGGCGTCCTCAAAGACCTGATGAAGGCCTCGTACCCCTGCATGTCTCTTCACGGAGGTCAGCATCTCTGTCCTCTGATACACAAACCATGTGTACTGGCCAGGGATTGAGTCTAAATGCTAAGAATCGAACGAAACATGATTTGATAAAGCAGCAATCTTTATTTTATAATATGTAAACATTAAGTTAATGGCATGTAAGCAGGCAGCTCTCATCCGAGATGTTCATGTCTGTCTTCAGTCGAAAAGAAATTAAGTTTTTTGAGGAAATGTTTTCATGTTTGCATCATGGTGTCAGGCTGAAAGCTGCTGTTTTTACAGAACATTTATAGCTAATAATAGTCTGCTGGTGTTATGCCTTCAGTCATTTTGAATTTGAATTACCTTGACCTTTTATTTCTAGACATATAATATGTGTAAGATAAGTTGCTGCACTTGGAATAGAGTTTTCTTTAACTAGAGGGTTAATAAAGAACATGTTACTAGAATCATGTTGTATTTTCAAGTTGACTAGTTAAAAATCTTATAGAATTGAGAATCGGTCAAAAGTTCTGAAAAAATCAAGATTGTAATTGTCTGCCGCATCGGCCAGCACTAGCTGTGAGTTAAAGCGTTAACCCTTCACTGGAGTAATGCGCTGTAGATCAGGCCAGCGGTGCTGATGTGTGTGGTGTGATCTGTGCGCAGGCATCGATCAGTACGACAGGGACAGCATCATCAACGACTTCAAGAACGGTGCGTGTCGTCTGCTGGTGGCCACCTCTGTGGCGGCGCGAGGCCTGGACGTCAAGCAGCTGATCCTGGTGATCAACTACAGCTGTCCCAACCACTACGAGGACTACGTGCACCGTGCCGGACGCACCGGCCGAGCCGGGAACAAGGTGTGTGTGTGTGTGAGAGTGTGTGTGTGTGCGTGAGTGAGTGTGAGAGTGTGTGTCTGTGAGTGTGTGAGTGAGTGTGCGTCTGTGAGTGTGTGAGTGAGTGTGCGTCTGTGAGTGTATGTATGTGTGTGTGTGCTGAGGATGAGCCTCACGTCTCTCTCTCTGTGTGTGTGTGTGTGTGTGTGTGTGTGTGTGTG